CCATTAATTGGACTATTGCTGCCACTGGTATTGCTCGTCAATCCCATACCCATTCTGAATTATCCGGCTAGAATGTGGATTTTGAATTGCTTTGGACGCATTCTGGCTGCTCCGTTCCGTTATGTGACCTTTGCGGACTTTTGGCTGGCCGATCAGATGAACTCCATGGTGCAGTGCATGGTGGACTTTTATCAGCTGATTCGTTTCTATATTCGCTACTCCTTCAATACCGGGAATACCTTTGATTTTGAGCCGGACTTTGTGGTACCTGTGCTGCGTTGCCTGCCCGCCTGGTTTCGTCTCGCCCAATGCCTGAAACGCTATTGGGACAGTCAAGCCAAGCCAATTTCATATTTGGTGAATGCTTTTACCTACGGCTCCACGCTGATAGTTGTCATCATCTCGACCGTACAAATGGAGACAAATCGTGAGTAACTCGAGCATCCTCTTCTTTCGATGCACTTATCTTAATTCTTACTTCTCCAACAGATAAGTATGATCAGTTGTTTGAAAATCCTTGGACTTGGGGCTATATAATTAGCGCGTTCGTATCAACCATTTACTGTACTTCCTGGGATATATTACAGGACTACGGCTTGTTTAAGGTCTGGAAAGGCAGAAATATGTTTTTGCGCGAACGCCTTGTCTACCCCAAGGTGAGCACATAGAGCTGCCATACTCTGAAACTCCACAAGTTCTCTTCTTTCGTCTAGAGCTTTTACTATTTTGCCATTATTGCGGATATCTCGATACGTTTCGTTTGGCTCGTGGAGCTATATTTAGTATCCAATAATTTGGTATTGCCCTATAATTGCAAGACATTGTCCAGCATTTGTGAGATAGCGCGACGATTCATCTGGAATTTTCTAAGATTGGAGAATGAGCATCTGTACAATTGCGGCAACTATCGGGCGACACGTGATATATTTATTTCGGCCTTAAGTTCCCGTGATGAATTGCTCGTCAACTCTCTTGTGGATGAATCGAGACGTAATTCGTTAGCATCGCGTCGGGAATTACGTCTCGATGATCGTACTCACTAGAGTATGAAAATCCTGTGTAGGTGGTTTGAGTCTATTCGAGCTTGAGCTCAATTACTGCTCAATCTCTTAGCAATTTTATTCTAAGCCAATTTACCCGCTCCACAAGCGCAACAATTGAGAGCCGATGAAGCATTTAACGCACCCAAACTGAAACCAGAGCAGCCGGAGGAGGACTCTGAGCTCTAACAATCGAATAATCTGCTTTCTTCGATACCCTCGTATATAAATTGAATAAAATTAATTTCACATTTACGAAATTAAAACCACAAATGGAATTATAAATTCAACACACAGGACATGGCAGAAGTTTGTGACCAGCCGAAGTCGAAAACAAGCGTGCTCTGATTGAGACTGCTCGACTAGAAGATACGCTGTGTAACATTTGATATTTATGGATTTTTAAGAAACGAGGGCTGCTATTGAAAACGAGAATTTGCATTACAAATTTGAAGTCTGAAGCCCGATGAAGTCGGATATGCTTTATTTTATTATTTATATGTTATATGCATTTCAACAACTTCATTAAAACTCTTTTCGTGCGTTTTAAACCATTATAGGGTATTGAAAAAAAAAACACAAGCCCGCAGGACAACAAAAGTTAAGCCAGACAACAAGCGGGCAGCAGCAAGGACACAGCTTTTTGGCAAAGGGACCTGACAACTTGTCAATGTGCTGTGTGGCTGCTCTCGGGGTTTATCGAGAGGCCCTGGTAGTCAGGACAACGACTGCAACGGGCAACTCTCTGAAGAGCTACCCTGCGCTTGTGTGCCTGCCTGCCAGCCTGTCGCTTGGCTTGGTTGGGTTTGTGTCCTGTGCCTGGTCACGCATAAATGCATGCGAATTAGAGACTGAACACACACGCACACGTGGGCGTCCTCCCCTTCCCCTTTTAGTGGAGGGGGCTTAGCTCTTTAGCCGCAATGCATAGGAATGTGCGCCCTCAGCTGCCGCATGTCAATTATGTGACCCACCACGCCAGTAGCTTGGGGGTTTCTTTGCAGCCATTAAACCACCCTAACCCTAAACACGCCCCCCCCACATGGCTCCGTTACAAATGTTATAAATACATTTGGGAGCACATATTGTTGCAATGTCTGGCGCGCGTAATTTGCAGTTATAAATGGCTCGTTTCCGGCTCCAGCTTTGGGCTTGGAAATGTCATCAGCTGCTGCTGTTGAAGTCTTCAGCAGGAACTTGCCCAGGTCTTGCCAGGACTTGCCCCCTGACAATTTTTTAATTATATGCATAGAGCGCAACATGTTGCCAGCCAGTGGCAAGTAGCAAGTGGCAGGCAGGCCAAATCAGTGCCAGCTACCGAAAACTTGCGAATTGCTGCAGGAACTGGCGCACGCGGCAAACTTTACAAAATGTTTGCACCAGCTGCTCGACTCGTTGCTTGTCGCTAAAAATGCTCTTAAATTTTGTATGTGCCCTCCCCAAGGCCCCCTACTGCCAGCAACGCCACACTTTCCACTCCTCACTTTTTAGCTCGCATATTTCGCTAATGGTTCGCTTTTCATATATATATATATATATTTGGGGGTTGCTTTTCCGCAGCTGGTGCCTGAACAAGCCTGGACAGCGCTCGGTTTCAGTGTCTAGGTCGCCAGACCGCAGACATTATAAACAACGCACAATTTCTAAAAATTATAATGGAACGTACTAAAGAATACTGAATACCCTTACTTTAATTGTACTATATTTTTGTATCCATTTTTGGATATTCCATTAAAGAATGCGCATCCATTCAAATTGTTATAGAAGAAAATTATTATTAAATTATTATTTTAAACACACGTTTTATTTTTTGGCTTGTTAGGAAAATCCCTTGGAAATTTATGCAACATTATTTTTTATTTTGAATATTATAAATAACAGCTAATACAAAACCTTTTCATTGTTATATGGGTAAAAAGGGCATGATGTTTTTGTGCAAGAGTATCTAACAGGCAGAAGGAAGTATCTCCGAGGGCCTAATATATTCTTTATTAGTATCCACAGATCTCGATCTCACAAATTATAAAAGAGAGAATTGAAAATTCTATATAAAAATCATGTTTTCAAGCAAACCTCCTAGTTGCGATTTCGACTCAGATACATTAAGCTAATTATTACAAACTTAAATTAAACGAGTGCGAAATCTGTTTTATAATGTGTTGCACGCTTCGCGATAATATTGAAATAGCCACGGCTAGGGTATACACGCAGACAGAGTGAAAGTTTTATGGTGTTGCAACTTTACATGAACTTGCCGCATTGTTGTCGTCGGCTTGTCGTCCTGCCGTCCTGTCGCCCTGTTGCCTACCACAAACTAGGCGCAAGGACGACCATAAAAATCCATTGTAATTTATTTGTCTGCTAGTCAACGCGCCCCTCAACCAAAAATGAGGGAAGGAAGCAAAAAAAAAAAAAAAAAAACTGCAAACATTTCCGATACGCATTTAAATTTCATAGTCAGTGAAAGTCATCAACACATGGCTGTAGGCAGGGGGAGGCGGGGTGTGGTTTGGGTTCGCCCCAACCGAAAGTTAAACGGCAACTGGTCTATGCCCTCTCGGCCCCCCCTCCTCTCACTTTATGGTAGCGCAACACAAAAGCTTCCGTTTCCTGTCTGCTCTGCTGGGATTTCCCCGAGGGTTGCAAACAGAAGCAAGAACCCACCGAGACGCAGACGACACAAACGCTTTTCTGGCTTTTTTCTCAACCAAATAAAGTTTTCTAATTTTCCATCTTCATGTTTTGAATTTTTCAGCTGCTTTTCAAAAGCTCAACACACATTTCTCCCTCCTCCCCCCACACCACAGATTTTCCACTCGTAGTATGCCAATTTTGTTTGCTTAGTGTCTCAGCTTTGGTGGAGCAGAAGTTTGGGTTTCCTTTTTTTTTTACGACTACTTGGGTACAGAAGCTCCTGGGAGGAGATGGGGTCTGCGACGCTGAGCGAATCGCCTGTAATTTCCGGCAAACAAACCAATAAATCATATTAAACTTGCTTGGAATTTTGTGAAAGAAGCAGAAAAACTGCGTACCGGAAGTCTTATGACGGTGTAAGCCAAATGCAAAGGAAATCTGAGACATTTCCATTTGATATGAGCTCTGTTTGAGGTTAAGCAGAGGGTGCGGGCTTGCATTTGACTAGGGAGGCTGGAAAAAAAACGCTTGGCATTTCAAGAATGGCGTGGTGAAAAATGCGATGCTGTGTATTTAGGATTTACGGTATTTAATATGAAAGATCAGCTGGAGAATAATGTTTTTTTCGGTTTTAAAAACCGTTTCTTGGGGTTGTTAAACTGAAAGTCATTCAATACACTGCCAGCAGACATAACATATTTATGTAAAATCTAACATATTTAAGATTAATGTTAAGCTCTAGCTGAGTTATGTTAAGCTCAATATACTGCTCACTCGCAATGTAAGCTATTAATGAATTTGATACAAATTCCACATAAAAGTTAATGTAGTTCCATAAGCGACAATTTAAAATTTCTGTTATTGTTATAGATCAGAAGAAAAATATCCAAGCATTCGATAATGTCTAAAAAATTAATTTTTAGGTTTTTTTCATAGCAGAAAAGATTTGATAATAAAAAGAACATTTAGTTCAATAGCTGGCTACTTTAGCTTTTATATCAAGCGCTCACTGTGCCATATTACAGATTTAGTTATATCAAATGCTGAAACTTAACAGCACTGTTGAATATGTTAACAGGTGGAGTAATTTAGTACAGCATAGAGCTGTTAGTCTAGACACAAACCAGCAGGCAGTTGTTGCCTTTGCTAACATTGGCGTTCAATGTTTCAGTCTAGACACAAACCGTAGCACAGTGGCAAGACAAATATAAGCTGACTGCTCTGTCACGCAATGCAGACGCTTGTCAATTTTTCGGTTACATTTTGAATTTTTTGAATATTAAAGATATAACAGACACAAATTAAATAATTAATAAGTGCACTCACCGATTCACCATCTCATTGCCGTTCTCTAGCGATTGAGCCAACTGCTGTGGCGTTTGTTGTTGCTGCTGCTGTTGTTGCTGCTGCTGCTGCTGCTGTTGCTGTTGCTGTTGCTCCTGCTGTTGATTCCTGTCCAGCAAATTGCTTGCGGCAGAAGCTCTTAAGCTACCACCAAGGCCAATGCCCAAAACGGAGCCACCGCCTCCAGAGCTAACTGCACCAGAGCCACCGCCACCGCCACAGCCCACGCCAATGGATTTGGTTTGCTTCGCCTGCTGTTTGTAGCGGCTCAAGGCAAAGAACAGGGCGAGAACTGCCTTCAGGCGACCCGCGCAGATGTCGTTGGTTGTGATATTGTCCAAGCCGCCCACCGATTGACTCCTCAGCACGTGCAGGCACGAGTTGACGTTGTCGTACTGCAACAGACCAAACACAAATGAGTCAAAAGTGTTCAAGGTGGCAGCATTTAAAGCTTAAGTTTGAATATGCACAGCAAAAAATATTTGGGCTTAAACTCAAATAGAATTTTTTGTTAAATTTTGTTGACGAATTGGACCTAAGAATTATTTTATTTTGTGAACATGAAGGAAATAAAATAATATTAATTTTACCTATGTATATAGCGATAATGGGTTTGAACTGGAAATTTAAGTCTAACGAACGTTAATGCAGGCCAACAATTTTTTACAGTGCACTTAATCCCAGCTGCAAGTTGATGAGTCACAGTCCCTTAAGCCATCTAATATATATGTAAATACAAATCCTAGCGCCAGTTTATCTTGCAGCTAAACTCTAAGCGCCATTAACGAGACGATGTCGTGATTTTGACAACTCGAAAGAACGTGGCCCGAACTTGACTAACAAATGGTTTTTTTATTGTTAATTTGCTTGAACGTTTTTAACTGCTTCACGCACAACACGCACCAAACGGACCAAACGGACCGCCCGATTCCAATACCGAACCCGCAACCCAAAACCCAAAATCCCGAACCCAATCTGAAGTCAAGGAATAAAAAGCAAAACGACAACAACAACAAAAAATTGACATTAAGATAAAGTGCTCAGACGTCAACTGCTGTAAAAATGTGGCACACAGCTCGTGTGTCAAACGGAAAAATATACGAAACCAATCATAGAAACCGGAAATACTGCAACTAACAGATTCCCTTTAAAATTTATGTGGAACATAAGTGAATTTATAAGACAGTATTAGTTTTAAATATAAACTTACAAGGCTTTTAAATATAATATATGAATGACAATTAATCTCAAGCAACTTTGTAGCTTAGAATAAGTTATTATAACTTTATATCGATTTTTAACTAACTCGACTAGGAATACCCTAAACCTTATCTTGCCAACATCAAATACAGATCGTACTAAGCGCTGGTTTACTACAAATTAAAAATAATTATAAAATGACAAGATCAACTCGGCTATTGATGCTGATCAGAAGTATATATATCTTATGCCTATTACATACACTTGCAAAAAAACATTATACACTTTCTAAGCAAATTACTTTCATGAAACTTCTACTTATATAAGAAAATCACAAGATTTTTGATATGCTTGTATAAAAACTTATATTATATTATATTATACTATTATAGTTTATCTTATTTTGAACACAATCCAACTCAAATCAAAAATAATCCATTTTTTATATAGTTCATTAAAATTTAATTTGTGGCTTCGAGTTGTATCTCAATGCCAAATGAGTTACAATAGTTAGTTCAAAGCTAATATACCCCTTACACAAATTGCACATGTAGCGCATCGAAAAATCTATAAAAAATTGTCAACACGCGCTCGGAGAGCGCACAATTTGTCTTTTGTTTGTCTTTTAGCATTTTATTTTTTATATATATTTGTTTTTTATTCTCGTAGTCCATCGCTGCTGTCGTCGTGGACGTCGTCATAGCAGTTGTTACAATTTAAAATAACCATAAAAAAACAAAAACAAAAACGTATAAAGTCAAAAAATCAAACTGACAACTGACATGACAGCAGACAAATGACAAACGTCTGCCCGACTGTGTGCACTCAATTTGCTGGCTGCGTTTGCGAAGTTCGAAGCTCGGGTTCGAATCTAACGAGCTGTGCTGAGCGGGCGACGGGTTGCGGGGTGCTTCACATTAAAAAACTTCAAACTTACACTATAAAACTTATGCGACAGCAAACTTTGTAATAACTATCGCATAGATACAATTGGGAGTCGGGCATCAAAGACTTTGACTTTGGCCAAACAATTTGGCAAAAGCTGCAAGTTCAAGTTCAATGGGATGTTAGCGAGAGTGAGGGGGTAAGTAAGAGGGGGTGTGTACCCGTATCCAAAAGATACATTGAACTATGCTCGACTGTGTGCTGTCAACGTTTATTTTTGGCAAACGCTCAATTTGCAGCATTATAAATTGAGACAATAAATTTAAATTAATTTCGTGTGGAACGCTCGCTTCTTCCAAGGAAAGTTTTTGCTCGTGAATGAGGTCAAAAACGGTTGGGGCGGGAATGAAGCGGCAGCTCGGAACATACTTTTGCAGTTGGCTAACAAGTTGCCGTTTGCTGTTGGCCAACACAATTGATAGATAAATGCTATCAAGTGCAGCATTAACTGCTGCACTGACAGAAAAATTGTTCAAGAAATATAATAATCGGACAAATTCAGCTCAAACTTTACTTGTTGCAGGCAAAAGTTTCCAGTCAGAAATTTCTTAAGAATATGTTTATATAATATTAAAACACAAAAAGCTTTCTTTGCATTTTTATGCATTTCTTAAATCAACAGAAAAAGGCTTAAATAAAAAAAATAAATAATGCAAGTTGAGTTCAAAAATTCCAAGTTAAAATTCTGATAATCTGATCATTTTATTCCACATATATTTATTTCTATTATCAAAAGAAAAGGCTTAAAAAATGGGACAAGTGGAGTACAAAAATTTCAAGTTAGAAAATTCTTTTTCACAAGAAAATAATTTTCTTTGATCAAAAAATGCATTTCTATTATCAATAGAAAGAGGATTCAATAATGTTCTACTTTGCTTAAATGAATTCTAACTTTACAAAACGAACACAAAGAACGTGGCACAAACTTTTCATATTGATAAAGACAGAAAATCAGTTGTTTATTTTGTCAGCTGGACAGTCGAAGAGCACCTCTTAGGAAGCTCATCAATCAGTCTGAAAATAGGGAATGCCGCCAGTTGAGCGTGTATCGTGTTGAGATAAAAGACATGTGAAAGAATATGGACTAGAAAATTATATTTTAAGGGAGTTCAATATTTGAGAGCGCCGCAATGAATATAGAAATCGTACCGGAGAATTTGCTGGAGACAACATAAATAAATAATATTGACGAAGGAAATATATTGCCGCAAAACTTTAAGAATAACATTCAAAGAATTCCATTTAAATTCAAAGAATTTGCCTATTAATGCAAAGAATTCCATGAAATTTATTCAAGTGAAGATTTCGAATTGAGTTCAAAGAACGCCAAAGTCTTCTATTACGGCGTAATATACAATAAAATACAATACTTAATTGCAGCTACTCTATAAATTTTGCCCTAGGTTTAATTTGAAGTTCAATTAGCTTTTTCATATAAAATTATATTGATTATTGGGACAAAATTATTCAAGAACTTGAAGATTTCTTCTTACTCCTTCTATTATTTTAAATGAGATCTGTAATCTGTATTCTTAGTCCTATTATTTATTTATATAACTGTTAGGTTTTATGTTAAGTATTTCATTTATAAGAACATATAAATTAATCCTAAGTAACTAAAAAGAATGCAAAGATTGAAAAACTTTGGAAGAATTCGTATTTCTCGTTTCTTGTTCATTAAAACTAAGTAAAATTAAAAGTTTTGATTTTTTCCCTTCTCACTAAGCTATTAATCAATACATTCATTTCGATACTTTTTAAAATGTTTGTTTTTGGCCCAGTTAATCATTGCTGCAACCTTCTCCACCCACACATATACACGCGCACACACACACACACACACGAGCGCGCTTGCAATCGATCAATCAGAGCCGCGTTGACAGTTGCAAGTGTCAAACAGAACGCTGCACTTCATTCCCAATCCAAAAACTACACAGACAACACACACACACTCTACGCATACTCTACTCTACTCGGCACAGTAGTTGCAGTCACAACTTCAAGTCACCGACAATCATTGAAAGAGCGCGCGCGTGTGGCACAGTTGCAGCTGGTGGTTGTGCAGGAGCGGGTGGCGGGGCGTCACATAGCCAAGTGCATTGAGAGCTGCGCTTACGTAATGCTCAAAAGTCAAGCGGGCCACAATAGATGTCAGCCAGCAGACGCGCCGCAAGTTGCCACATATGCCAAAAGATACAAATATACACAAGATACTTGCAAGCGGCGGCGGCCGCAGATACATTTGCCCAGCACTTGCGGCGACTCCAAGCGCAGCTGTTGCATCCACAGGAGCTGCAAGTTGCAACCGCAAAGCGTAAAACGATACCAGCCAAAAAGATGCCACCAAAGCTGCGAGGCGAGCGCCGACAACGAGAAACGAATATAAGTAAATATATATAATCCAGCAAGAGTGCTGGAGGTGAGCTTGCTCGACTATGGGATACCCAGTTTAATTTTAGGATGGCATTTTTATACTCTGTGTATGCTTTATCAATTCTGGGAAAGGAATTATCTATTAAAGGCGTACACTTTAGTTTATGAAAAATCTTTTCCAACTTATGATGACTTCATTTGCCTATTAACTACGTTGGCATAGCTTCAATATACCCATTTTAATAGGCTGCAGGGTATTGAGAGTATCTGCAAGTTTGCATCTTATATAAGAAAAGTGAAGACCCCCAAGCTGTCAAAAATAAACAAATAATGTCGTTCGCTTTAAAGATGTCAATTGCAATACGAGTACATCTTATCATTGCGAACCTACCACTGTGCACAGTGGTACAAACTCAATTTACCTAGTTGCCATTGTTCTGCACGACTTTTATGTTTGATATAAATTATTTTTGCTGAGTTCTCTGCAGGATTATTATTGCGATACATTTCTTCCAAAGATATCTTTTAGCTCTAATATTGTTGAGGAAATAGCTTGTATATTCGATTCCATGTCAATCAGTTGGCCTCTTGCTTAATTTACTCTAGTTAAATAGTTTTCGCACCACTGTGCACTGGACAGTTACATTATGATAGCGACCACAGGCAATTCTCACGCTCTCAGCCCAAAATGAAGACAACAGCAACTGCCGTTTGCTGTCAGAACACACACACACACACCAACACACACACACACACACACATACGTGCACACAATGACACAGAAAACTTTCATAGGATAAGGCAGCGCTGCTGACGTTGTCGCCGCTGGCAGCGCTGCTGACGTCGCTGCCTTTATTGACATTCTTAAGCGAGCGCT